CTGGGTCAAGAAGTCGATCCATCTCCTGTCCGCCGCAGTCAAAGACAATGCCTGCCTCAGAGAAGGCGACGTGATGTTGATGGTGTTGTCATCGAGGTTTATAATGATGTCGCTGTAACGGTCCTTTTGTTGGAGAAGTAGGGAGTTGGTGCTGCCGACGAGGTAGGATTTTGTGCCGACATCGGCCAGCAGGTCGAGCTGCTGTAACGGAGTATAAGGGCCAAATATGCTTCCCTAGAGTTGGGTTTTCATGTAAGAAACGGTATTCTTTGGGCAGGGTACAAGTTTGGCACATACTTTACCAAAGATCTGCAGCGGGAGGCCCATGTAGGTCAGAAGCGAGTTGCGATTGCTACTCTGCAAACTCGTCGGCTGTGCGAGTTTCTTTTCGTGGCTGTTCAGCTCGGGATCTGCGCAATCTTGGAGGTTACGAATGAGTCCGGGTATCAGTGAAATGAGAGAAAATTGGACCATGCATAACCGATCGCATCGTGAGCCGAAGAAGAGCATCTGGATTGGCCATTAGCGAGTTTGGTCTTGCACAGCAAAGCGCAAACGCCATTCTCTTGGATGGGCCCGTAGAGAGTAGTCACCAACCTTGGGCTGAAGAAGACAGCATTTGAGCAGCACCAGGGCCTGCCATTTGAACTCGTGAATTAGCTCGCGCAGACTCATGCCCAAGTACTGATCCCGCTGCGCCTCTTCTTGCAAAAGGCCTCGACGCTTTTCATCTGCGAGACTGTCCTGGAAGCCTCGCAGGATATCAACGTCTGTAAACTCGCGCTGGGCAAACCATGCTTGGGTGACTATGCTGAGACGCTGCCTCAGCATGCCAAAGAACTGGGGGCTGTCTGCGATGACGACAACCGCTTTCTGCACGGTTGAGCGAGTAACATCGGCAGGCCGGTTGATGAGCTGCGTGGAATCGAGCTGGCGAGTGCATGATATGCCGAACAGAGACGTTGCAGGTCCGTCGTCGGTCTCGGGCCGCAGCAGGGTAAAGTAGGAAAAGTCCTCCTCAGACCTAATCAACAACAACCAAGTCAGCGAGCAGCCCTCCAGCTACGATACAAGGAGAAACGTACGCATGCGCTCCGTCACTCAGAGCCATGAACGGCAGCAAAGTCCATCCATACTTGGCGGCCGGGTCAATGCCCTCGTCGGCTCCAAACCAGCTCTCGACCTCGGGACCCCGCGCATGATGGAAGCCAACAACCGTCACCAACGGCGTAAAGCCAGACACAAACGGGGTGGTGGGTATCGTCGGGGTAATTGGCGACAAGACGCTCTTGAGTTCGAGCCCATTGGGCGGGACCTTGATTCTCTCGGTGGTCATGGTTCAGCTCCCCCGTGGGATGTCCAAGATTTGCTGCAGCTCGGCGCCGCTACAGCGATGCCATGCGCTTCCAGGAAGCTTCAGTCACCGACTCCGGGGGCGCAGCTCGCGGGCGTCGTTGGAGTTCGGAGGGGGATTCGGCCGTTCTGTCGAAGCTGCGTTGCTCTGCTTGGATCTGGTTCGGGTTCGAGCGGTGGGCGGGCAGGCAAAATCGGGCACAGCACAGGCAAGTCGGTGTGGCGAAAAGGCGGGATTCCAAGATTGACACAGGCTGGAGTCGTTGCCAGTAAGCCGATCGCAACTTCAGACTGGCTTCGGCTATTGCTCTGTGACGTGATGGGAAGCCTGGTGCAAAAGGGACAGGATCAATTCGGGGGGAGACGCAAATGGTCGCGCGTCCGGTCTTTGCTGCAAGGTGAATTGGCAATGGCGGGGGATCCCTGACAGGCCTCAAGAGCACGGACAAGGGTGGAGGAGGAGACGATGGGCTGGGCCTGATGCTGAGAATCAGCGTCAATTGCGCTCGGCTCGGTGAAGATGCGGGATCTCAGAGGAGGCGAGGGCCTCTATATGCCTCTGTAGGAGCAGGCAGCCTCTAGAGCAGGAGAGGCGAGTGGCTGGTGACGGGCCGCAGAAGTAAGTTGAAGTTTATTGTTCAAACTGATGTGCTGTTGGTGAGACTGATTGGAACCTTGAAGTGCTGACTGACTCTGGTAGGGCCCGCCACGCAAAGCTGGTACGGTCCACTAACAGAGATACATGGAGACGCCACGCCAACCGAACTGCCGTCGACGTTAGTAGGGTAGGTGGATGCACATGTCAAAGTGCAAGCAAGCTTGGAGACTCGACTCGACTCTTCTTCAACCGCCAAAAATCAACATTGCCTTGCGTCTGGTTCTATGCATTACGTAGGTACAGCTGCATCAAGGCATGTGACGATGGCGTTCCATTGTAAACACTGGCCAAGTTATATCTTGTGCCGGTGCTCGAGAAAACCATCCCCGATCCATCTCGGAGCGAAAAGAGGCATCACCACAACACATGGACAAAATAATAATGAACAAATGAAACAAACTACACCACACCACACCACACGCACATCCGCGCACAAAAACACAAAAATCCCATCTTACAGGCCGACAGGATTCCACGTCAACAGCGGCCTGCCATCCCAAGGCCTTCTTTTTCCTGCACGATCTCTCTTGGCTGCAGCCCATGCAGGGATGCGCCAGCGAATGGCAGACCCGGATGCTGGTCTGCCAGCGTGTCTTGCATTGCATTTGCGAGCATGTCCGCCTCTTTTCTCCTTCTTTGCCCTTCCTCGAGTTTCTCTTTTCACCTCTTTCTCTTTTCTGCTTCCTTTCCCTTTTGCCACTATCGATATGTCATGCTGAAGCCGAGCATCAGGGCTGATTTGCCGCGTGATATCATGGGATATGAGGCATCGTCATGTGGAGCCTTTTGTCGTACATACAGGAGTGACATCAAGAGAGGGTACATGGACTCAGCTAGACCGCACATTGGGCTGCATGTCTCCGAAGCCTTCCTACTGTATCTGCTCTGCTGCATTAGAAAATCAAATGTAGAAAAAAGAGAAGAAGAAAAAAATACCCTAGCCCTGCTCAAGGTCCCAATTCCCCCCGTCCCGTCCCGACATCGCGGATTCGATCACGCAACCAAAACGAGCCAGATGCATGTTAGTAATGTTATCTTTTTGGCCGCCGGGAATGTAGGTAGCCGTAAACCTACCCAGAGACGCCTACATGAGAGATGAGACGTAATGTAGGAGAAGACAAGTCACTCGATTCATCATTTCGGCGGGATGCGTCACACGTGTAACCCAAGAATGTCCTCTTCTCATGGCGATGATGTAACCCAGTCACCTCGTGGTCTCTTTACGTCCAATCTTGTTGAAACAATCAGCCGAATGGCTACTCCGTACATACACCGAAATGGAAAAGGCCGCAGCGGTATCATGGATGTAACGTGCAACACCATCTCATCTCATTCGTGGAATACAAGACAGACCGCGATCCTCTAGTTTGCTGTCCAGAAGCATATTTTACCAACTACATATAGTCTCATCTGATAACAGGGTAGTAGTAGGTACTAGATAGCTTGAAGCTTGAGGCAAAAGTGTGAACATCTACAACTGTACCTCGGACGGAGTAAGAAGGAAAAAACATAACCGCTGTGGTGATGTACCCAATACCTACCTTGGTCGACCACATCAGCAATTGGAATCGTATCCGGGCATTAGTACTCGTACTTTAATGAAAAGCAAAATATCTTCCCGCATAAGCTAAAGCTAAAACCCCGACGGTCCGCAAAGATTTGAAACAAAAAAAGGGCAGACAGGGCACTCGGGGGACAAACATGGCTCCCTATTGCTGATGAAACCTGCACCCAGCCGTGAACAAAATGAACAGGGGTCCCGGAAAGAGACAAAAAAAGAGTGAGCACAAGATGCCGGAACAAGCGGATGGATTCCGCATTGCTGTCCCGGTATGACAAGAGAGAAACACTGGAGCAAATCTTGCTATGAATAGCCTCCGAGGGAAATGGGGATACGGAATATTATCCGGTGTCCGTGCTCGATATGCCAGGGCGGCTCTGTAGAATCGCGTTTGCCGGCATCATGACTACTATGGCAGTGTCAATTTCGACGGGACTTTAAAATCAGTTCTTTGCATACGAGTAGGAGAACCATTGCCCCAACCACGAGCAAGCAAGCAGGGGACAAAAAAACTAGGACCGAGAGGATTACAGACACCCACGCGTTAAGTCATACGCCTGTTCCTTAAGGATCTGCTACTATAATCATATCTTCTTTAATAAATACTATCTATCATACTTATATAGCAAACTTTGGGTGCTAGCTGAACAATAGGCATTCCATTACGGAGTACAAAAGCATCACTTGATGAACTGATTGGGTGTTGACATTGATGAATGTACGAGCATGCACGACTCCCAGGAAGCTGTTGACAACTTGGAATAAGGCTGCGAGAGGCATCCTGGCACGTGGGAATCATAAGTAGGAAAGTGGAGGGAAATCCCGAGGAACAAGTTTCCCATCATGCACGATGAACCGTGCGGCGCAGGGACAAACCCCTAAAGCTAGCTGGAAATCGTTGGGAACCAAACCTCAACAGCTCTCTGTGGGAGAATAGAGTATGACTTGAACCCTAGGTGTGATTTGCAGCGCCAAACTCACCGAGTTCCCGATTTGCCATGGCTCGCCTCCGTTAACCGACGAGCGACATCCAGGACTCCATACACCAGTACGAGTAGCATGTACATATGTACGTAGCGCCAACACTAATAAGGGGGCTCCGTCTCTATCCGCTGTACTCATTGTCATGCATGTTCGTTAATGAGTCGCCGTTGTGCTATTTAATTTCGAGGGCCAAGCGCTTCTATTCCGCGGTGATACTGGCCTCAACTACGGGTCGCCGGAGGCCAGAGGAGCAAACTGCCGCTAGACGAGAGTCCAGGTCTCCTTGGCTTTGTCGGCTGCATGTTTGCGACATGCCAACATGGAGGGTCTGCGGGCAGGCAGGGATAATCTGAGACTGTTAGTTCCAGTTGGTAAACGCCTCTTGGACGGAGCCGAGCGGCAATTCTGGAACGCTTCCACGCTCTCGCACGGCGTGGCCCCCAGTCAAGCCAAAGGGTGGCTTTGATGCGGGATTTGCCTGTGGATGTGATGAGGCGGCGCTGTGCCTCCAAGCATCCCCACAGGCTGCGACCAAAAAGACATCAAGCCATTGGGGGGGGGGGGGGGGGGGGTGCAAGCATCCTCGACGGGCGCCTCGTTTTCTGGTGTCGTCTCCAGGGGGCGAGCTTCTGCCAGGCGAATTGGCTCTTCCAGAGCAAGGCTGAGATGGCCCATTCGACGGGCAGCCTGAGTCCTTCACACGCCATTGGCCCATCTTTGGCCAGATAAAAACACACCACTCGGTCCAAGGCAAGACGAGCTATCGAAAGGGCCGTCACATCGAACGGATTGGCCCATATCGAATCTGGTTGGGTGAAAATGGCTGATTGGAACAAGACTGTGATGGCGAAGACATCACCACGTGCGTTCCCTGTCGGGAGCTGGATCCAGGGGGGTGCTCCCCTGAGGTTTGCTTGCGCCCAAGACAAGCCACCGAATTCGATCCAGCAGCGTCGTACCGCGGACGAATTGCAGCCAAAGGCGCCGTTCATTGGTGACGACGATCGGCGGCGGACTGACTGTTGCAACTCCTTGCTCAGACTAGGTAGTAATAAGAATTACTTGCTCAGGGCCCCGTCCCTGTAAAAAGTATGAGGCGATGTCGTAGGTAAGCTGCTAAAAGCTGCCCGGCGGGCGCCGACTAGGGGGGGAGGCGGGGAGCCATGTCGAGAAATTGTGTAGGCATTGACTCGAAGATCGCCATCTAAACGGATCAAATCTTGGGGCTGGCCGCGAGGGGTTTTGAAGAAGTAAGCACGGTCCGAAGTACGAGACTACGTGCCTTGCAAAGGTCGAAAAGACACCAATTGGCCATGATGGATGGATTCCAGGGTTTGAGAGTGGTGAGGCTGGAGTACATGTAATCTTGTCTCCGAACGGACCAGGGTCTTTTTTTTTTCTTTTTTCTTTTCTTTCTGTTTTTCACAACGACGATTATCACCTAGCATTAAAATGGAGCCCCTTTGTGATCCGAAATGAAAGCCAATATGCTAAGCTTTTTCTTCTTCTCTTGCGGTCAACGGGAAGCGGCAACACCAAGCACGAGTACCTAGCATGTGAACGAGTGCTAGGAAAGGTGTATAAGATGGAGCCCTCAGCCCTGTGCGCTTGTACGCTGTATCGTACGAGTTCCAGGTATCAAATTATAATTTCCATGCACCGGAAGTGCCGCGCTGTCCGTTGTAAAAAGCAAACTTTGGCGTCCCGAGAGAGAGAAGAAAAAAAGCTGAGATTGCGGCGCCCTCATGGGAGCGGCCTGGGATTATTTTAGAACACGCAAGGATACATTTTTGCAGACCATGGAGAGGTCCGTCCTGACCCTGTCCTTCCCGAGGACCGTGACGCTGGTATTGCTTAATTATTCTGGTACCGACGCGCTGGCAGTTGTCAGACGGATGGGGGGCCACGGATGCCGCATGGACGTTTGCATCACGAGAGACAAAAAGATGAAGGCCTGCGAAGGGGGCGCAATTGTCACTGAAGCTGGAGTGTAATTTCAATCTTGTCTGGTGTTGACGGTAATGATGCTTGGACAGGTACGGGTACGGGTACATGGACACAGCCAGGTGCACGTGGCCTCGGCAATTCCTGTATCGAGCTGTCGTTATTGGAACTTGAAGACTAGCAGCAAGTGACGGCGGTAAAAAAAAAAACAAATGAAGGCAATTAAGTTTGCCATCAAATGTGATGATAATTTCACAATGGCGCATCACACCTCTCCATTATATACGATTGGATCAACCCATCCAATATGATATCCATGGAATGCAGTGCAGAAAGAGCGCCTTTGTTTAGTGCTCGTCGCAGCGCCGTGCTAGCGAATTGCACCCAATCGCTTCGAGCCTTCTCCTGCATCAAAAGGACGCTGCTGCACGCTGGTTGGACGCCGCTGAAGGAATTTGCTGGGGTACTGGAGTCGGCTTGTGGGGTTCCAGTGGTCAAAGGCTCTCTAGCGCCGTTCGCACAGGCCTCTCCAAAGCAGCTTAGGGCTGCTCGTCGAGTGTTCTTTGGCGAGCTGCGCGCTGATGCTCAAGCCGGGACAGCGGCGAGTAGCCGGCAATGGCATGGCGCTGTGGGGACGCTGGAAATGGGAAGCGAAGCGTTGATAAGGCACAAGGCAATCGGATCAGGTGTCGAAGGACTCGGCGTCCTGAGAAAATGAAATTGGATGGGATGGGATGGGATGGGATGGATTGGATTTGAATGGGCGCCGCGGTCCATCAAGCCCCCCCCTGTGGGCCTTTGTCTCTGGGCGCTATTCGCCGCCCAGCTGCGATTGATGCTGCAGGACGAGACACTCACTTGAGGCGGGAATCGGGTTGCCACGAGCTGTAGGTACATGTATGTACACGGCACGCAGGCGGTTGATACCCCGTGCCTCAACGAGCTGTGCTGGTCTGGTGTTCAATTGTCGTGTCGGGTACCTGACCTTGGGGATAAGGCAAGGGAGCGTCATTCGAGTTCAAACAGCCGCAATGCAAGGTTGCTGAAACCGCATCAGGCACACGCAGCCGCGCAACGATGGGCCGGCGCAAAAAAAAGAGATCAAAGCAGCATAGCCCTGCTCGAGAGTTTGACACCACCTGGGATTACCAAGCGCGGGACCCGGCAGAGCTGAGAAAGGACGAGGAATGCAAAGTAAAAATGCAATGGGCTACGAGCACAACGGTGTAGAAAGTCAGTGGGTGTGAGCTGTTTGGAGGCGGTCGAGACGCGATAGCCGGGTACCTGCTCCGCCGGCGCGGATGCTGCAGGGCGCATGTATATGCACAAACAGGTGGGCTACCGCTGGGAGCCCCATAACTTGCACCGGCGATAACTCGAGATTGGCACCCTTCGAGTTGTTTGGTGCTACGAGTTCCTGTACTAATACCAGACTGCTGTGACTGTAAGGTACCTAGCCGCTACTCGTACGAGTACAGGTGCGAAAGACAAAGCGGTCGGGTCAGTCCAGTCCCATTTTACTCCGTACCTATCCCAGATGAACGGTAGCGATGCTTCCAGTACAAGATGGGATTGGGGGTTCAAAGGTACTAGGACTAACTGTAGCCTCCATGGAAACGTGGGTGGATGGCCAACACCCCTTTGGCGACCCAGCAGCTGCTCCTTTGGCTCGTCTGCTGATTGACCTGTTTGCTTGTCATTTGCTTATACTACCGTCTCCGTAGAGTGCGAGTACAAGTACTTTTGCCCTCACCAATACGAAAACGCACCACCAATGAATGTATGCACATTGCCGTGCAAAAGAGCAGTGCTATGCTGGCTTAAACCCAGCCGCCCCTTGTCCTGGTCAGGTCAGAGCAGAAGCCGGTAGCAGTACTTGGCAGCGGCGGGCCTGCGCCGTCATCCTGTGGTGCGTCGCCGGTACCAGGTACTCGCGCGCGCAGCTTGGCACCTCGAGTCGGTAGCCAGAACGGCCCGGCTCTTGCATCGAATCCTTATTAGGCAAACACCAAGAAAAAAGCCATCAGGCGAAATCCCCTCCCCGCTGCCTCAAGCCATCCTGCGTGGCCCTGCCTCAGAAATAATCGCTCTTGTCTTGTGCCACCTCTGGAGCCTTGCCGCGAATGATTCATTCATCCACCTGCATCCATCCAGTGCCAGACGATCCGGGACGTGCCTGTACGAGTGCTGTACGAGTGCTGTGGTGCTCTCGCTGACGTTGAAAAGAACACGGCTGGGGTTCCAGGCCTCTCTCTCTCTCTCTCTCTCTCTCTCTCTCTCTCTCTCTCTCTCTTCTCTCTCTCTCGCCCTCCCACCCCCAGCATCACCGCCGCTCGACGCCAGTAGGTGCCACTTGTTCCGCCCGACCTGTCATCATTTGGCCTGCTACAGCCACGCCCTAGGCTGTATCCACCACCTGAAGCTTGGGATTGGATTGGATCCCATGCTTCTCTGCTGCGAGCTTGTGCTTGTACATACATCCAGGCACTCGCACATGTACGGGGTAGCGCTCACTTTCACACGCCTCAAAGCCTGGCGTGCACGGTCAAAGCCTCAGCTCCTCCCGGCACTCTCCAGAGCACGAGTCCAAATCTCCTCGTTCACGAGGCTGCTTCCGCGCGCCGAAACTTGGACCGCCCTTTGTCGCCCCGGCCCGGACATCTGACGCCTTTCATCATTGGCAGCCTACCGACTTCTCTCCCCCGGCGTCATCATCAACCCTTTCGCCCTCTTCAACCTCCCATCAACTCCCCGCCTACCTGCTGCAGCTGGTTCTGCTGCTCGCACTGACACTGAACCCTTCCAACGACATTTGCCGCCTCCGCCGCCGCCATTTTCTGCCGAACACTCCGCTAAACTCCAGCCCCCAGCTCGAGCGACGTCTATCAGAAGCATCCCGACTTTTCGTTTCCCTTTTTTTTGTCAACCCAGCAGCAACTACCTAGATTAAGACGAAAGAAACAAAGGAGAAGAAAAAAAGAAAGAAAGCATCACCGTTCGCGTCGCCAACCTGTTTCTTCCCAGTGTCCGCTGCTTATGCGTGTGTAATTGGCTGCATGGCAAACCCACCTTTTGGATCCAAATCGCTTCGTCTACCGATTCGTCAAGTGCTTAGAGAACGCCGACAATCTCGCCATCAAACACCAAAGAGTGCTGAATCGCCCACCATGGGCGGATGCATGAGCTCCAACAATGACGAGGTGGAGCAGAAGAAGAGGAGTCAGGCTATAGATAAGGAGTTGGACGAGGACTCAAAACGGTTACGGAAAGAATGCAAGATCCTGTTGTTAGGTATGTCTCTCTCTCCCCGGGGCTGGCGGTCCATGATGTGCTTGCGTCCCAATCGCTCACCCTTTCTCTTTTTCTCGCCTTCTCTAGGTTCTGGTGAGAGTGGCAAGTCGACAATCGTCAAGCAGATGAAAATTATCCACCTAAAGGGATACTCAGAAGAGGAACTGTACAACTACCGACCAACCGTCTTCAAGAATCTAGTAGAATGTGCCAAGGCCGTCATCACCGCCATGCAGCAGTTCAATATCGAGCTTGTGCAGGAGGACAACAGATCCTTTGCCGACTTTTTAATAGACTATCAAGCGGAATCTGGGCCGCAAGCTCACATCGACCCCCAGGTGGGACTCGCTGTGCAGGCAATATGGAGCGACCCGGCCAAAGACCAGCTGATGGAGCACCAGACGGAGTTTTACCTGATGGACTCTGCCGAGTAGTAAGTTGCAATGAAGCGTTGGCTGGCGGCGCGCCGTCTGGGTTGCTGCTTGGATGCTAACCATGGTGCCCTTTTTCTCAGTTTTTTCCAAGAAGCAATGCGCATCGTCGCGCCCGATTACTTACCTAACGAGATGGACGTATTACGCGCCCGTACAAAGACTACCGGCATTTACGAAACGCGTTTCCAAATGGGCCAGCTTAGCATTCAGTACGTCGCATCGACAGTTATTTTCCCAAGTTTTTTTCTTTCTTTGTTTCCCATCTTCTTTCCCCTTTGAGCTTATCCCCGAGCTCCATATTTGACTTGTTTAAACAACGGGGCTGACGTTTCCTTCCAGCATGTTTGATGTCGGCGGGCAGAGGAGTGAACGGAAGAAGTGGATACACTGCTTCGAGAACGTTACATCAATCATTTTCTGTGTTGCGCTCAGCGAGTACGATCAAGTTCTTCTCGAGGAGAGCAGCCAGGTAAGCTACGAGCGATTGTTGCGTGACGTCGAGGTGTTCTTTGCGGATAGGCCAACCTGACCGAATACAGAACCGCATGATGGAGAGCTTACTACTCTTTGATTCCGTCGTCAATTCCCGCTGGTTCATGAGAACGAGTATCATTCTTTTCTTGAACAAGGTGGATATCTTCAAGCAGAAACTTGGCCGATCACCTCTATCCAACTACTTCCCCGATTACACCGGCGGCATCGACGTCAACAAAGCCGCCAAGTATCTGCTATGGCGATTCAATCAAGTCAACAGGGCGCATCTCAACCTATATCCACAGTGAGTAAAGGCGCAGATGGAATCTGGAATTGCTTTTTTTTAGGCCGCTGGCTGATGTGACTGTCAATCCTAGTCTTACCCAAGCTACCGATACATCAAACATCCGACTCGTTTTTGCGGCGGTCAAGGAGACTATACTGAACAACGCACTCAAGGACTCGGGTATCCTCTAAGCTTTTGCTATGCGAATCTTGGTCATTAATCTATCCATCCACCAAATTCCGCTTCGGGAGATGAGGCGTTTATAATACGGCGCGAATTTACAGTGCGCCCACCCGCCGATCCATCTTGACCTGGCTCACACCATGCATTTCTCTCCCCTAACGGTACATGTGGTCCACCCAGCCGACGTTTTCTTTAATATCAACACTACGCTCTTTTCTTTCCCTTTTTGCGATGCGACGAAATCCCTCCAAGGGCTGATCTTTTTCTTCTTAACCCCAAGGGGTCCCAAGAAAATTGCGCTTCGACATGGCTAATTTCCTGTCTATTACCACTCAGCAAGGCGCGGTCACTCTCACTCACTCGAACGATATGTCTTATATTCCCCCTTTTCTTTCTCCTGTTATTCGGAATATTTTTTTTGTTGGCGACTACGGTCTAGATCTCGTGTGACAAGCTACAGTATAAGGCTGACATGAGAAAGCCGTCTCTGGTTGGTGTCTTGATATTGAGACTACATGATGAAATGGTGTTTACGATGATTCGCTTTGAGGGGCAGCGGCAGCTAGATGCACAGCTGAAAGAATCGGGCAATTGGATACCACGGCGGGCCGAGAGGAAGCATAGAGGCGGATACGACAACCGTTTCCTTGGAGGCCGGGGTTGGACGTGGACTGGGCCTGCTCCGATGTGTCGATTTTGTGGTGGTTCCCGTGCCCGGGGTTGAGCGAATATAAGAGTTAGCAGGCGGGAATGCGTGAATAGGCCCGGAAAGATGACATCTTTTGCAGAGATGCCGAGAGTACAAAAGAAGAGATGTTTTATTATTATCATTATCAAGAATTGGCTGCGGATATTGTTTTTTTTTTTGTTGCGGCTTACGGGCTTTGCTTTTGGGCTGTTGCGCGCATGCAAGGATGCTTGGGATCGGGGGAGGAGTTATTGGATAGGCTTCTCAGGTTTACACGCGCGAGAATAGGTATTAATTGCTGCGCCCTTTATTTACTATTGGCCTGACGTACGGAGTGTGTCTGAAAACCTACGTTTTATAATTGATACCTTGGTGAAACTACTCGTGTGCTTTTGAAAACGTTGGGAAACAAGCATGATGCATGTGATGTTTTGTAGTATTTAGTAGTAAGTAGTACTAAGTAGGCAGCGTTGGGCTGCCAGCAAGAAAAGGGCCCTTTTGATGGATGAAAAAGATGGATTGGAAACCATTGGCTGCTTTTTACCAAGCTGCTTTTAGCCGTCTCGGTTTTTTGTTTGGAGCAAAGGGGAATTTGGCAATGCCGTACCTAACATAACATGTGCATCATGGCAAGTCTATATGGCGAGTTGAAGACGTGTCAGGCTCCGACTTTTCCAACCATCCGAGCAAATTCGACAGTCAGAGATTCGGCAGAGGGGCCCCACAACTTTGCGGCCAAAATAAACAAAGTGGTGTGATGTATGCGGGCTGTACGAAGTATGGATGGACAAGGACAGTCTTGTGGTCTTTGCTTTTGGGCCGAGGTGCTTGAGGTTGTTGTTGCCCAACAGAGGAGTTGTGCAGGCGCAATATACGGGCTGCGAGGGGATTCTATTGGCACGGGAGAGGGGGAACAAGAGGTTGGTAATAGTTGAAAGTAACCTTTGATGGAACGGTAGCAATTGAGAGAGACAGAGAGAGAGAGAGAGCAATTGGGTAAATGCAAAGGGCCCGTATCCGAGTACGAAATGGATTCGATGGATTCCCGCATCTCCGCGAGGGATGACGATGGCACCAGCGTGGCGCTACGGAAATGGTGCCGCCCGCTCTATGTACAGTATACGAGTAGTAATGGAACAACCTAAACTAAAGAAAAAAAACTTGATGTGGGAGATACTTACATGGCTCTACATGGACCTGGGGATGCACTTACACGTCTCGTGCATATCCATTGGGCAACATCGCGCAAGTTCTCATCTTCTTGTTTTTTGATGCTGCCCCTCCTTGGTTCCTCCGCTTTGCCCTTGGGTACCTAAAGCTGTGCCTGCCCCTGTGCCCCTCTGCCTCTCCTTTCCCCTTCCCCTTCTCTTCCTCTACCTCTGTTACTCCCGTTCTCTTCTTCTCTTCAAACTTTCCCTCAATTGAACCCGTTTCGTGGTGCTTCTTTATCTGCCGAGTCCCAGACACGTCGAGCAGCCAAAAGGAAAGCTCCTGATACCCCGCTGTTGCGTTGCTGCCCCACCATAGCTTCTGCAGCTGAGCTGATGTAAGTTCCATTGATAACAATCGCTCGCTCGCCCAACCTGTTTCTCGCCCGTTTCCCTCCTCGACCCGTCATCATCCATATTCCATCATCTCCATCTCCTGTTCTGTTGCCCTATCCTTATCCCTTTTGTTTTCTGCATCCTTATCTTTATCCATATCTCCCTCATCAAGCGCCCAGATTGCTAATTCACCCGTCCTCCGCCTGCAGCCCGTTTTCCAGCCATGGCGACCAAGCAGCCGCTGCCCTCCCGCGAGCGTCGCCCCTCCACTGGAGCTCCCCTTGTGGACATCCAGGGAGCTGTCGGCCCTGCAGGCATCTCCCGGCCCAAGCACAGGAGGACTTTCACCGGCTTTGGCGCTGGAGAAATCAAGCACGTTGAGGGTTCGTCAATTCACTTCCTGCTTCTGCTTCTGCTTCTGCCCTTCTTGATGTGATGAATTGCTTTGTTTGAGCGTTGGGATCGGCGGGCGATTTACATGCGCTTGACCCCGTGCGGCGCGGCGCGGGGGAGGGGAAGCTTCAACTCGGTTGCTTTTGGCGGGGCTTCCATGCAACCAGCGTGTTACGGTGCTTTGCTTGCTTGTACCGTCATCGCTCTCTTCATCCACTGCACTGTTCCATGTGCCCATTCTTTCCTTTGCTTTGATTCCTCAAATGAATCAATCTACCAAGTAACGGATCCTCCATTCGCAGTTGCTAATGAAGCTCTCCTACAGCCTCAATCCCCGAGCCCCAGCGCGAGGCATGGAGGCGGAACCAAGTCAAGAACATCACCGACAAGGACACCTTCGAGAAGGAAGTTGTCCGCCATGTCGAGACCACCCTGGCTCGTAGCATGTTCAACTGCGACGAGACTGCGGCGTACTCAGCCACCAGCTTGGCCTTCCGTGATCGGCTCATCACCGACTGGAACAAGACCCAGCAGCGCCAGACATTCCGTGATACCAAGCGTGTTTACTACCTCAGTCTGGAGTTCCTCATGGGACGAACCCTGGACAATGCCATGCTCAACGTGGGGCTGAAGGATGTTGCCAAGGGTAAGATCTGTTGCCATGTTCGCCGTGCATACATCATCTTGCTAACCCATCCGCCACGTAGATGGTCTCTCTGAGCTTGGCTTCAGAATTGAAGACATCATCAGCCAGGAGCATGACGCAGGTCTTGGCAATGGCGGCTTGGGCCGACTTGCTGCATGCTTCCTCGACAGCTTGGCTTCCCTCAATTACCCTGCCTGGGGCTACGGTCTTCGCTACAGATACGGAATCTTCAAGCAGGAAATCATTGACGGCTACCAGGTTGAGGTTCCTGATTATTGGTTGGACTTTAACCCCTGGGAGTTTCCCCGCCACGACATTACTGTCAATGTGAGAGCCACCACCCCCCTGACGCGAACATTATTCAACGAAGCTTACCCCGTCATCGATAGATCCAATTCTATGGCAAAGTCCGCAAGCAGACCAACGACGATGGCAAGACCGCCTTTGTCTGGGAAGGCGGCGAGGTTGTTGAGGCCGTTGCCTACGACGTCCCCATCCCTGGCTACGCTACACCCACCACAAACAACCTGCGACTCTGGTCCAGCAAGGCGTCCGGAGGCGAGTTCGATTTCCCAAAGTTCAACAACGGCGACTACGAAGGTGCTGTCTCCGATCAGCAGAGGGCCGAGACCATCAGTGCCGTGCTGTACCCCAACGACAACCTGGAGCAGGGTAAAGAGCTGCGACTGAAGCAGCAGTATTTCTGGGTGGCAGCATCTCTCTATGATATTGTGCGCCGCTTTAAGAAGACCAAGCGTCCCTGGAAGGAGTTCCCCGACCAGGTCGCCATCCAGCTCAACGATACCCACCCCACTCTTGCCATTGTCGAGCTACAGCGCATCCTCATTGATATTGAGGGCCTGGGATGGGACGAGGCATGGCAGATTGTCACTGCCACGGTAGGTTCCCCTGACTATGGCCCCCCTTTGGCAACAAGAGGAATTGGCTAACGTGTCGTGTTCGCAACTCTAGTTTGGCTACACCAACCACACCGTGCTCCCAGAGGCCCTGGAGAAGTGGCCGGTTGGGCTGGTTCAGCATCTGCTGCCCAGACATCTCCAGATTATCTATGATATCAATCTGTTCTTCCTGCAAAAGGTCGAAAAGGCCTACCCCAATGACAGAGACTTGCTCAGCAGAGTCTCCATCATTGAGGAGAGCCAGCCCAAGATGGTGCGGATGGCCTTTTTGGCCATTGTGGGCTCTCACAAGATCAACGGTGTGGCTGAGCTGCACTCGGATCTGATCAAGACCACCATTTTCAAGGACTTTGTTGAGATTTACGGCCCAGACAAGTTCACCAACGTGACCAACGGCATCACCCCCAGACGTTGGCTGCACCAGGCCAACCCTCGCCTGTCCGAGTTGATTGCTACCAAGTGCGGCGGTGATAATTTCCTCAAGGACTTGACTGTTCTCAACAAGCTGGAAGCTCATGCCACGGACAAGGCCTTCCGCAAGGAGTGGGCAGAGATCAAGTACGCCAACAAGGTGCGCTTGGCCAAGTACATTCAGAGCACTCTTGGCGTATCGGTCAACCCGGCAGCCCTGTTTGACGTGCAAGTCAAGCGAATTCACGAATACAAGCGCCAGCAGCTCAACATCTTTGGCGTCATCCACCGGTATCTGACCCTCAAGGCCATGAGCCCCGAGGAGAGGAAGAAGCAGCTGCCCCGTGTCACCATCTTTGGCGGCAAGGCTGCTCCTGGTTACTGGATGGCCAAGCAAATCATTCACTTGGTCAACGCCGTCGGCGAGGTCGTCAACAAGGACAGTGACATTGGCGACCTGCTCAAGGTTATTTTCCTGGAAGACTACAACGTCAGCAAGGCCGAGATGATCATCCCCGCGTCTGACATTAGCGAGCACATTTCCACCGCAGGAACAGAGTAAGTTGGAACATCAAAGTCTGAGGTAGCACAGCGAATCTAATGAGCACGATAGGGCATCTGGCACCAGCAACATGAAATTTGTCCTCAACGGAGGTCTCATCATCGGAACCTGCGACGGCGCCAATGTAAGTCTTGATCGAGCTTTTCCCCTTTGCTTGTAACATGCTGACTCCTCTCACAAGATTGAAATCACTCGTGAGATTGGCGAAAGCAACATCTTCTTGTTCGGAAACCTCGCCGAGGATGTGGAGGACTTGCGCCACAACCACAACTTTGGCTCTCACACCATCGACCCCGACCTGGAGAAGGTCTTTGTCGAGATTGAAAAGGGCACGTTTGGCATGCCCAACGACTTTAGCGCCTTGATCGCTGCCGTCAGGGACCACGGTGACTACTACCTGGTGTCAGACGACTTCCACAGCTACATCGAGACGCATGCCCTCGTCGACGAGGCCTACCGCAACCAGGACGAGTGGGTGACCAAGTGCATCACGTCCGTGGCCCGGATGGGCTTCTTCACCAGCGACCGCTGCATCAACGAGTACGCCGAGGAGATTTGGAACATTGAGCCGCTGGATACCACTGAAACGTAGAGTCTCCCTTGAGTAGGTACCTAGGTAGAGTCGTGTGGAAACCAGTGGGGGAATACCTCGATAGATTCGAGCAGGCAGAATTACACAATAGGGAGGAGTGAAGAAGATGCGACACTTTGTTCCTACATGACGAATTGAATGTCCAATATTGAATTACACAATGACTTTTCATTTCCGCTTGACCGCTACGTGGCTATTGGTGAATGCATGCAACATTGGAAGCATAGCCCATAACCAAGACTGCATCTCATTGCCTCTTGACACGTGAAGACTCGTGCAGACACAGTAACCGGGATATTCCCAGACTTGCAAGCATCAATGTTGACTTGTACGCCAAGCTAGAGCACTGAAGTGCAGGCAAATAAACTTGATATTTGGCATTAGCAGCCCAGGAAGCGGTGTCACGACGGAGTGGGTTGTTGGTTGGACAAGGAGAGGAAAAATTGAGGTGGGAAGACGCCGGAGCAAAATCTCCAGGGGCCGCGAGCCGATTCGCAGCGATTATTTCGATGGCGGGAGGGGGGCCCGGTTCCTGAATCAGAATCGCGAGTTTGGGATTTGGGGGGGGGGGAGAAGAAGAGTTGGTACCTTGGTACATGTACCAAGGTAAGGTGCGAAGTGTGTAACGTGTACTTGGGTTTGTTTGATGCAAATGCGTGAAATACAGGGTGGTGCAAAGTACCCTGTACGGGGGTGGGCGTGGGTCATTTGGGGGGGAGAAGTGGGTTTGAAGATTGATTTGATTGTGACGTCATTGGGGCATCACTGGTGTGAAGTGGTTTTTTAGACTGACGATGTTCAAGTTGTGTGGTGTTGCTTCTTGCCTGGGGTGTGGTTGTGTGTCTTTTGCTGTCTGCAGAGGATTACTTTAGATTAATGCATGTGGGAGCAAGGGGGGGGGGGGGGGGGGGGGGGGTCTTAGGTGGGTGGGCGGGAGTTTAGGTTGTGGTGATGGGTTGGGCTTGGGTTTTTTGGGGGGGCGGAAGGGAAAGCTGGTTTTTGGATATGGGGGTTTAAGAGATTAGCTAGGGGGGGCGCTTTTGGAGATGAAGATTTGGGAATTGTCGATCTGGATGAGGATGGGATTTTGGGGTTTCTTGGATGGGAGATTTCGAAAGGGAACAATGGGCTTTTTTTTTCTTTTGATGGACGGTGGCGAGAAGATCAGAGGGTTTCTTGGACGGGCTATGGTGTAGATGGCTTGCAACGGTGGTTTAGTCGAGGCCTAGGCAGCTTAGTGGGAGTGGGATGAGGGAATGACATTCCCGCGGCTTTTCAGCTAATCACCCAAGCCTGGTGAGCAGAGCATGGGCAAGGGTTTATCGTGGAGGGGTTGAACCGAAAAAGAAAGAGAAAAAACATGGGGGTGAGGTAAAGGCGCACGATGTCGTCACCGGAGCTTGGTTTGCGAAGTGTCCCTGAAGCGTTGTCGCTACGGGGCGTGACGATGATGCTTGGAAGTCCCTGGAAGAGGAAGAGGAGGGGAATTTCATGTTTTTTTGGGGGGGTTTTGTTTATAGGTAAGGGTTTGTCCTGTCTCGGTCATGGTGATGATTTTTTTTGGGACTTTGCCTACTGCTCTGCGAAAAAAACAACAAGACTGCGTATTATAAGATCTTGTCTGGTCTAGAGTATCTCTTTTTTGCCCGAGTTGCTTGCTTTGCACTACTTTTTGTTTTTTTGCTGGGCGCCTGATAGCGAGAAGAAAAACACAAAAAAACCCGACAAGACAAAATAGCACCCGACCCTTTTCGAGACCCAACGAGGGCACGCGGACATCGGCATTTGAAGCAGAATCGATCGATCGCCTGAGACGGCGCGCGTATAAGTAGGGACGAGCTTGGCTGCCCCCCCCCCTTTCTTCTTAGCTTTTGCGGTTCCACGACGCTTTCTTCTGCTCTTTTACGAGGAAATCTTGTTCATCTTTTGATATTTTTCTGGCCTTTCGGTTATAACACTTGCGGGCTACGGCTGTGTCCCTTCGTTCTTTCGAATTGTTGCGTTGCGTTGCGTTGCGACAGCTTCATTGTCCTTTCTTGCGCCTGAAGGCGACAATCCGTTGCGACCGAACCGAACGAGTGACATTCAGTGGCCTCTGCATTCGCTAGAACAGACGTTGGGCACCCTTTTCCTGGCCAAAGTCTCAAATTACCACGTAAGTTGGGAAAACAAGAAGAAGAAGAAATCCCAGAGGCAGCAATTGGGCTGCGGGCCTTGATTGATTCCCGTTCTTGGTCTCAAGCCGGGCCGGGCACGATTGACAAGCCTGCTACCTGGCGTTTACCCCGCGCAGTGCGCTCTCTCACAAGTACAACTGCCGAACCTTGCCCGTGCGCCCACTAACTCGGTGTCCTTTTTTTTTCCTTGGGAAGCAGGGCGACTTTTTATTCCCTCCATACGCTGTACCTAACCTGACGTTATCCAATCTCTCGTTTGGGCTTTAGGCGCTATTCGCTTGCCAAAGTTCCCTCTTTTTGTCTTTATTCCCCCCCTCCGTGGCTATTCTGTTAGAAGCCGTCCAACCCCCGCCTTTGCGAAAAACAGCGAGAATTCGACCGCCGGTTGCTGGAAATCACGAGAAGAAGAAACGAATATTTCGAGAATTCAGGAAAGAGTGAAAAAAGAGACGCCGACGCAGAGCCAATCGAACCCGACAGACTCTCTCTTTCTTCGCTGCGATTCCTCCCACCCTGCGACCCGAATCGAGATTTGCAGCTAGTTTCCAAGTTCCAATAAGCTCAGCCCCCGCCTGGCTAGCAGCGAGTGGAACTCCTCACTGTAATCCTGCGCAAGACCGCCTGTGCTGGCTTTCTCTGCCCACCCCCGAGCCGACCTGGAACCAAAAAAGAGCATCAGCAGCAACATTCATCCATCCCATTTTCGGAGCGAGGGGTTCTAATCCGGCTCTTCTTTTTTTCGCCCTTCGACAACCCTCTTTCTCACGTCTGCATCTTTGGTCGTATTTTCATCTCGCCCATCGCATCCGCGTTTCGAGTTTTCACGCATTTCTTCTTTACCGATAAAAAAAAAACTAGATTCCCCCGCCATCACGAGTCAAATCCATCCGTCACAATGGCCGAGTTTGTGCGTGCGCAGATCTTTGGCACCACGTTCGAGATCACCTCAAGGTAGGGAGGAAAAGGGCGAGAATCCGGGCAGCGCGAGGAGAAGAAGAAAAGGCTGATCAATTCCATCAGGTACTCGGACCTCCAGCCCGTGGGCATGGGAGCGTTTGGTCTCGTCTGGTGAGTTCATGTTGCCGTCTTTTTTTTTTGACTGCGTTTTTGAGGCAATCCTGGCTAATTGCGACTTTCCCCTCCCCCGCCAAATAGCTCTGCGCGAGACCAGCTCACCAACCAGAATGTCGCCGTCAAGAAGATCATGAAGCCCTTTAGCACGCCTGTGCTCGCTAAGCGGACGTACCGCGAGCTGAAGCTGCTCAAGCATCTCCGACACGAAAATGTATGCGCTTTCCAGGCTGTCCGCTCCATTGCATCATCAAGCCATGATGATGATGATGACACCCGCCTGTTCCATGCTGACGTTGGGCGATTCGCAGGTCATCTCTCTTAGCGATATCTTCATCTCTCCCCTCGAGGACATGTACGTCTTGTTCTTTCCGGCTGTTTTCGCCCTTTTTTTTCTCTGCTCTTTTCTAACATGGCCTCTTATAGCTATTTCGTCACAGAGCTTCTTGGCACCGATCTGCACCGATTATTAACCTCCCGACCGCTCGAGAAACAATTCATCCAGTACTTCCTCTACCAGATCATGGTATGCGATGGCACATGAGATTCCCTTTGCATTATGCTTGTATCGGTTGGCAATTAGCATGCCGCCGTATGCGGCGCTCGGCAGCGCAACAGTAGCTAACGTGTGCGTTTATAGCGAGGCCTGAAATATGTCCACTCGGCCGGTGTCGTCCATCGTGATCTCAAGCCCAGCAACATTCTCGTCAACGAAAACTGCGATTTGAAGATTTGCGACTTTGGCCTGGCTCGAATCCAGGACCCGCAGATGACGGGCTATGTGTCAACACGATACTACCGCGCCCCGGAAATCATGCTCACATGGCAAAAGTACGACGTCGAGGTCGATATCTGGAGCGCTGGGTGCATCTTTGCCGAAATGCTCGAGGGCAAGCCCCTGTTCCCGGGCAAGGACCACGTGAACCAGTTTTCCATCATCACTGAGCTGCTTGGCACTCCCCCGGACGATGTCATCAACACTATTGCTAGCGAGAATGTGAGTCTCATGTCATGTTTCGTCGACACGTGTAGTCGATATGGACAGGACAGCCAGCTGACACGGGATTTAGACGTTGCGTTTCGTCAAGTCACTACCCAAGCGAGAACGACAGCCACTTCGAAACAAGTTTAAGAATGCGGACGAGTCAGGTAAGAGGACATGACACTCAAATTGCTATCCCATTGAAAGATGTTCTGGTCTGACAGGAAGCCGCACAGCCATTGATCTTTTGGAGAAGATGCTTGTTTTCGACCCCAAGAAGCGAGTAACGGCCACTCAGGCTCTGGCCCACGAGTACCTCCAGCCGTACCACGACCCCACCGATGAGCCTGTTGCCGATGAGAAGTTTGACTGGAGTTTTAATGATGCCGACCTTCCCGTTGACACATGGAAGATTATGATGTACGTTGTTCCGTCTTATTCTCATGACCTACACAACGACTGACTTGAAAACTACAGGTACTCGGAGATTCTTGACTACCACAACGTCGAGGGCGCGCCCAACATGGAGGAGCAATTCCCCACACAATAGATTGAGAGAACGGAAGAGCGGACCTCTTATTACAGGGTGGCATGAAAAGATTTTGAACCACTGCACACAAGACGGATACAGGAACGCGCGCGTCAGCAGACACACGGTTACACGACTCACGAGGGCCAGCGCACCTTGTTCCGAGACAGATGCTTTTTTTGCAGTTTCCGGCGTTGGGGATGGAAAGACTGGCATGGAAGGGGAGGGGAGGCAATTAGGAAGGGTTAAATATGTTGTAAAGACTTGTGATTCTGTGTGCAGCGACGACAACGATAAAATATACGAAGAAACGGGTTCTCTTTTTTCTTTTTTCTGTTAATTTTTTTTTTGGCTGAGCTCTTATGTATCCGGTTTTCGTGACGCTTGCTTGCTTGGCAGCACAGAAGCACTGCCTCGGCCGGGTTTCTGGCCAGAGGGGCGGAATGGCAGGGGGGAGTTTTTCGACTTTTGAACCGAGGCGAATTATAAGGTTGAACGTAAAGATCGAGGTAGCCAATGTTGTTACAATCAAGTATTAAAGATGAAGTGAATCCTGCCTGGCAGACAGTTGTAGCGCCGAAACAGAGCCTCACACAAGAGGGCGGAGCAAAGCAGCAGGGGGGGCGGCAATACAGATGCAGAGCAGACCCCATCAGGCAAAAGAGCCAATCCCGGGAGAACACACGATGCAGCACAGCTTTCTCCATATTCCGGTTCCCGATCGCCCATATAGCGACTTAACCTGAAGACATTCGGGGGGGCTTGGGCGGCTATGATAGGGCGAGAACGAACGGGTCATTTTGAGGAACCCGTCTCTGTCTGTTGTACCTCACGACGAAGAAGGCGGTGCTGGAGCCTGATTTCTTGTGTCGCGTTCTTCGTTGTGCTATTATTGATTGATTGCGCCCCCTTTTTTTTTTGTTCCTCTCTCATCGGTTTTTGTTGTTTGTTGGAAGCCTTGAGCGTTTAAACGGCTTTTTTTTTCTAAATTATTACAATACGAGAGCGAGAGGAATTGGGTAACGAGATTTTTTTTGGGTATGCGTCGGATGGCTTGCTACTGTCCGAAGCTGGAGACGGTGTCATGGCGGGATTGCTCAGGTATGGATGCCTCGTCTTTTCTGTTTGTGTGGTTTCTTGGACACCGCCCCTTTTGGGATTGTCGACTTTGGGATTGATTTGACCAACGAGTTTTCTTTTTTTTGGGATGGATGAGTTGGGATGAGAATGATTGCTGACTGACTGGTGGGTGGCATGTAGGCGAGAAAGTGGTTACGACGGAGTATTTGACCGCGCAAGACTTGTTGAAGAGCAAGGATACGGAGTTTGCTAATGCTGATGTTACTGTCACGTTCGTACAATTACCTTGATCTTCTTTGAAGCGTCTTGTTTTGCTTTTTGAGCTTGTGGTGTGGCTGACTGAGCATTTGGATAGATATGCCGAGGGTGATAGGATACGCAAATGCCGGAGTTGCAGGACTGCGTTTGATCAAAAGTTTCTGATGCCGCGGATGTGGTGGACGACGTTTGCCAAGCGGTCGAATGGGTATTTTGGGTATCAGGATGTGCTTGATTCGGATGGCAAGCGGACGGGTACAAGTAAGTATATCTGAACCTTGACTTGAGCAGACGATTGATACAAACATCTTTGCAGTCTCGTGGGTGAGGTTCATGGTCAAGCGAGTCAGCAAGATCCTCAACGCCCACGACGTCGACGAGATCAAATACCACTGGGTCAAGCTCAACGCCGTGACCCGCTGGCACGCCTCCAACAACCGCACCGACATCCTCCTCTTCGACCACCCGCGGTTTGCGCTGCTCAACAGGGACTCCATCCTGCGCGACATCAACCCGCGCGAGCTGGGCGACCCGTTCTGGGCGTATCCCAGCATGGTGGAGGAGGTCGCGCAGCTGCACGACGTGACCATCTGGGAGACGCGCAACCTGCTCCGGGACTTTGAGCTGCGGCGGGCGTTTTACCGCTTCAACTACAAGTACCTGCACGAGATCCCGCGGCACATGACGCACGTCAACGAGATGGTGTACGTGACGGAGAGCATCCTGACGAGCATCCAGAAGCACCACGCGCACTTTCTGGCGACGACGGACAAGGTCGACGCGCCGAGGATGTCTTTCCTCAACATCCAGAGCCGGCTGGACTCGCTGCACAACATGGTGACGAACCTGCGGCACCGCGCGGAGAGCAACAACGCGCGCATCCAGAACGAGATGGCGCTGACGTACAACGACGCGGCGAGGATCGATTCGTCGGCGATGCGGGCGATTTCGCTGATTGGGCTGCTGTTCTTGCCGGCGGCGTTTGTGGCGGCGATATTCAGCACTTCGTTTTTCAACTTTGACGCGCCGACGGGGGTGTGGAGGCTTTCGAGCCATTTCTGGATGTATTGGGCGGTGGCGGTGCCGTTGACGGTTGTGACGGTTGTGTCGTGGTTTTTTGGGCCGGTGATTATGGATAGGGTGATGCCGCAGTGGAGGAGGTGGGTTGAGTGAGTTTGAGAAAGGGAGATGTTGTTTGTTTTGTTTTGTTTTGTTTTGTTTTATTGAGGATATAAGGTGTGATTGGGTGTTTTTGGGGATATGAGGACTGAGAAATGGGATATGGGAAGAGATGGAGTTGATGACTTGATATCACTATATGACTTTTTTTTTTGACTTGTGCATTTTATACGGAACTTGAGGCATTGAACTGGTATTTGTTGAATCTTTGATACTAAACAACCGTCTTATTAACAGGCGTTTACTATTGGTATACTTCAAAGAGCTGAGTACGGCTTATTGCTGGACTGGCTGCTATATGTGATTTACCCCAACATATTATAGAAATAACACTTCAATATACTACTCGCTAATAATATGAATTTCGGAATAGACATCTCTAGCACATATCACTAGCAAGGACTACAGTAGATCTAAGCGGGAGGGTTATCAGGAGCTTCGAAGCTAGATTGCTAAAAGAAAGCATCCAAGTTCGAAGCTGGGCGCTGGAACTTGGAACAGAACTATACAAGAGAGGATGTTACCTTTGTTAAAGAGGTTTAGAAGTATTAAGAGTCTTTATTAGATATCTAGTGCTGTTCAATGACCTGTCTGTCTTTATTACTCTTGTCTTTGCGATGTAGACTTTTGATAAGAGTAAGACTATATTTATACGGCCACATGAAAAGCAATAGGATATGTTGTTAAATGTAGCACCCAGAGCCCAAAATGTTGAATTTCACAGCTATAGATGGCTCGAGTCAGAGCTCGACTACCTAGTACCCAATGAGATTTTGAAGATGGATGATAGTGGCGCATTGCTGGATTGGAAGATGACAAGCTTGCCTTGATCCTCAATACACTATAAATAACTGTATAAAGATATGTTTGTCTCTCCATGAACTTGGGTCACAGCCACTTTGTAAATATCTTGTCCATCATTTTCAAGTATTCATTGGCTAACAGATCGGGCTTTAAGCCGAGGAGAAGCTGATGTGAGCAATCATTCTGCCATAGCGGACATGAAGGCCATACTCAATCTCACAGCACTATACTTGCCTCAAAATATCATCTGTTTCATGCTACTGTCGGAGTGGACATGTTACATAATGGAAAGCCCTTTGTGTCTAAATAAAGAACTGAGTCGAGGCCATAACATAAGGCGTCTACATACGCCAAGGAAGAAGAAACCAATGCAAATATTTAACGCAAAACCTGATAGCATCAGCTCATCTCGACTAGCTCGCGCGACTCGTAACAAAATTGCCAAGCTTGCAATGTGATGTGTATCGTGGCGTACTCCACAACAACGTTCACATATACTCGCATGCGTCCTAAAAGTCAGGGCTGCTGCTCGATCCGTGCTTGGCCCCAGGGTCCAGAGCGGCCATGGCGTTTTTGCGGCTGACGTGACAGCAAAAGACGAGGCGTGCTGCCAACGAGCATCTGACAAGCCCGTGGCGTTTTGATGTCCGTCGATGCGGGAGGACGGAACTAGTGCGACGAGCTGAGTGTGAAATATGCCTACGCTAAGTGGCTCACCGAAATTAAGGCCACGAGCCACGTCGATTTGAGGGACGAGGGAGTGAGAGAAAGTTGTTTGCATGTCTTTGGTCAATGAAACAAAAGAGGAGCCGTCGAGTTCTCCGCTGTGTTTCTTGGAAAGATGCAGCATCTCCACTGCTGTCTGGAAGCAGGGTATGGTTGTTGATGCTTGTGAAGAATAGCCACGTTGGGAGCCTGTCTACTGGATGTTCAGGCTTTGAATGAGGAGTGTTGGTTGCTACCTATGTGAGTGTAAGTGGGTTATGCCGTTTCTAAACGGCGAGTTCTTGACGGTGACGATTTGTAGGTATTATGTCTGTGCTCCATGATGGAGTTTGACGTCTAGAATCGATGGTGAGAAGAAGAGGCCTGGAAGATGTTTAAGTGTTGCATGTAGAGCTTGTTCACGAGCTTGGATGATGACATAAGGGGAGTGAGGTACTCACCTCGAATTCCTTTCAAAGTACTACTAAGGTATCGACATACCTAGCAATAGCGATAATGCTTTTAAGAGGAAGTGGTCGAATATCAAGTGTTATAACGGGATGCAGAAAAGCCCACATCTTATATTTAATAGCATCTGTTTCATCGACTATCTGCTATTATCGCTATTGGAGCTGGTACATGTACATACTGGACATGATACATGGTACCTCTCTGCTAGATAGACTACCTTAGTATGGCAATGGCAGGAACAGAGACGGACGACGCCTCCCCGTTTGTCAACTACTACTATACCTATAGGTACCTCTCTTCTTGCCAGAATTCACGCCTCAAAATTCAGTCGCAAATCTCCCCCCGGCTTCCGTCTTCTCTCCCTGTCCACATCTTCACCTCCGTATTCCCTTCAATATGAGCAATTCTGTCCAAGTCCTTGTCCTTGGCATCTCCTATTATCCCCCCCCACGGTACACCCAGATGCCGAACAGTCGCATTGCAGCCGCCCCGCCGTCCCAACTCAGCCTCACTGCAAGGTGCCGGATACACCAACCACTCTTCCTCGTGCGATTCCAGCCAATTTCTTCTTCTTTTCCCCGAATCTGCAACCCGACTTCAGATAGATGGCCCCGGCGCTCGAATGATCCGCGGCAGCATCGGCAACGGGGTCCAAATCGAGACAATCCAACCTGAGCTAACTCTGGGCCCACCGTTCTCTCCAGACTGACATCGCTTGCAAGACTCTTCTCCGTACTCCGAACTCCATACAGCATCATTCAGTCATTGACTGGGAATCTTCTGTACGGATTCTATTCGATTTCCCGTTTGCCACCGCTACACAACATCCCGCACGGGAGAAAAAGGTTTTTGTGAGACAGTCATCATCAGACGCTCCGTATCCGTCGCACGATGTTAGTGTGCCACAGGGTTGAACATTTTTATCCATTGATTACTACTACAACCACAACCACTAACACAATCGACATATGAAATTCGAGCTTTCTCGTCATCTTGCTGCAAGGGGGTCGTTGAAACTGCCAAGATGGGAGATATTAATCCAACTTAAAAGCTGATTGATCGGCTAGCAAAGCAATCTCGCTTTCATGGTTAGCTGGCCCAAGGCGGAGTGAGCTAAAAACAAAATCCGATTTCCAAAAATATGAGCTTGGAAGGGTCAAGGAAGAATGCCACGAGAAAGAAAAAAAGACTCCGAGCTGGAATTGACGGCATCCCGGCATCCTCTTTGCTCCGGGACTGACGAAAATTGACAATTAAAGGGGTCAATGGTGTTTGTTCGCCGCGTCTCCACCGTGGGAAGAAAGTCGCGTGCAGACGGTGGTCAAGACCAGCCGGCAGAGCGGTAAATCACGCTTTAGCACGCACTGTTTCCAAACCACGGACGGCCATAACGGCGATTCTCGTACGAGCCGAAGCAGCAGAGACTAGAGGGGCCTCGTATTCACTGGTTGGCTCGTCAGGGATCATGACGTTTAAACCGTCTGGAAGCCGAAAAGGGGGCCGCCAGGCACGCTGCACCGCATTGGGCTTGAGTTGATAACGGCAGGGAGATGCCAAGATGCATGTTGAAGACCAAATGAACCGCGATCTGGAAGATGCACGGGGTGCTTGTAAGCGAAGGTGATCCCCGGAGCACGACAAATTCTGTATTCACCGCCTGCAATAGCCTATTCAGACTCGGAGGACATGTCATAATCGACGGCATGGTGTGCAAGGGCTGCCATGCTCGCGGTGGTTCACCGATGGACGTACCTGCAGTTTGCAGATGCATTTTACAATTCTGGACCGAAGGCATTTACGTACTCGAATCTGGTCGATAAGATGGCTTCGACGACGGGATTGGTGTGTTGTGTTGGAAGTTTGTGGACGGCATCTCTAGGGATTTCTGGCATCCCGACATGCAATGCAGCTGTTCGGGAGCACTGCTTGGCCCCAACATGAGGACATGGGAGCGTGCCTCGTTCTTTACAGTATTCCTGCCCGTGACGCCTTGTGTGACACGCCGTGCGACGCAGCCCGTGCTCCAAACATGTGAAGCCGGAGATGGCCACGGCTAAGAATAGACGGGGATGACTTTGGAGCAACAAAGATTGGTGAGCAAATAAGCTTTGGATTTGGCCGCTCCTCGTCGAGCAGAATCTCACATGCTCAAATCTCACCTGCAGCCAGCAGCACAAAGGGCCTGCGAACGAAACCGCTTCCAATGATTGATCAACAATGCTACGGCGCTTGACCTCGACTGTGATTCCCCTTACGGGGTCGATGAACGGTCCGGTACCTGCGCATCGCATAGCCGAATGCCGCTGCGAGCAAGTACCTCGCAGCTTCATGTCGACACACCTGGGGCCGCATCCCTTGAATGATCTTTGGGGGGTTCAGGTCTGTGCTCGCGGCGGAGAGCGGCGTCTATTCGCTGGACAGCCCCCTGGAAAGCGCGCTGGCGTGGATGTTTTTGGCGTTCTCTCCGCTGGCGCTTTAGCGGCTCTAGCGGGTGCGCCACCGCACCGTCACTGGGCTCCCTGGCCTTGGCATCGCCTCCACTGGGGTCAGCAGCGACTCAGCCTTATCCAGACAAGAAACATGAGCCCGGCGAGAGCTTTCTCCTAGCACCGCGGGAGGGGGGGCCCCTGCAACGGCTGTCGTTGATTTCATATATCTAGCACACCGATCTTCCACTGCGTCTTGCTCGGCTTCGATTCGATTCACTGCTCCTGCGCTCGCTTCGTTACTGGCATTGCTCTCGTTTGCATCTTTGCTCCCTTTGCTCGCGTGATCAGCTACTGTTCTTGCTGTTGCCGGACTACTTATTTCAGGGCCTGCCCCCCACAAACCACACAACGGACGCAAGATTCAAGACGACGACGAAGACGACGACAAAACAGACAAGAGAGAAGAGAAGAGAAGAAGAAGAAAAGAAAAACGAAGAGCATCAGAAGAAGATACCCGGAAAGAATCACCGCAAGAGCAAGGAAATTCGAGGCGGACATTGTGATACCTGGGGTTTTCCGGTCAACAAGAGAAGCATCCGTCTTTCAATTGCACTGCAAACAATGGGAAGCGGCCCTACCCGATTCGAACCACACCAGATCGGAAACGCAACCGCAGCTCAGCACCGCAACGATGCAGCGACGAGGTAACCGTGACGTCCGCTTTGCGGCAGATGACGACGACGATTCCGACTATGAGCGCACCTTTACCTACCGGCCCCTGTCCAGGCTGCCCACACCGCCGCCGACCCTGAGCAAGGCGAGCGTGGACCAGTACCAAACGCTCGAGGACGACGACACGCTAAATCCGCGATACCGAGGTGAGTTTTTATGGAAATGCCATGTTGTTACGAGCCGTGCTTGCTCCGTGTTCTGCTGTGCTGTGCTGTGCTGTGCCCTGTACGAGTAAGACCGTCTTGGCTGGCTGCATGGACGGGGGTACGGAATACGGAGTAATCCGACTGCAACCCAAGGCTTGCATCTGCATTGCCGCTTTGTACCTGGGCGAATCAGGTTTTTGCTAACGATTCTCGGTTGCAGGTCCCGCCATTCATCTTGTCAATCTGATTCCTGCATCGGCGTCGCTGGCGAGCGCGTCGGTGCCCTTTGTCCAGGCCATGCTGTCGAGGGCCGACCTGACCATGGAGATGCTGGCCCTGGCGGTCTGCATCCTCGACAGCCTCGACACCAAGTTTGCCCGCACGTGGCGGCTGTCGTGCCCGCTGTCGTGCCCGCTGAATCCTCACCCCGACGGTGTCGACTCGGCCGCGGCGTCGCCATCCCCCCTCAAGCGACACTCGATGCCACCGACGCCGCGCGACGCCCCTCGCCGGCAGCTTCACATCGATTCCGTACGTCCCGAAATCATCATCCTGGCCGCCCTTGTCATCGCGGCCAAGTTCACGCAGGATCCGCAGCAGCCACCGCAGTTCTACCGTCTGGCGTGGGGCCGCGGCCTGTGGTCCAACGACCAGCTCAACGTCACGGAGCGGTGCATCATGGAGAGCCTCGACTACCGCATCCTGCCGCTCTGCGACGACGACTGCCTCACCGACGCCATGGTCGACATGCAGCTGGCCGCCGAGCTGGAGTCGGGCTCGCGGTGGAAGCCCGCTCGCCAGCTCACGCCTCCAGACAGCGCAGCCAGCAGCGACTGCGAGTTTGTGCCGAGCCACACCCGATCCAAGACGACGGTTGGCGTGGGGTTTGGCCTGTGATGATGTGGGGGCGGCTGCAAAAAAAGAGGAAACGGTGATGTTTCAGCTGATAATCCCGCAAAGCCGGAGTTGGTTCATTATTCTTTTTTCTCCCGGCATACTTGACGAGTCATTGACAAAGCGATGGGCATTTATTCATCTTTTTTTTAATATCCGGCATTTTTTTGTTTATTCCTTTATTAGCATGCTGAGGACATGAGCATATTTACAAGGGCGTTTCGGAGAATTGCAAAGCGTGGAGCAATAGTGTGGTCTGATATATCGGCTCACTGGGTTGAGGCATCTTTTTATTTTATCTTGCTTTTTTTTAAGAGTCACCAGCATGGTATTATTCTGATGGACGTACCTCTGTGCCTCTGGAAAAAAAGGCCGATTGGGAATCATAACTTGGGGAGGGTTCTGAGTTGGATATGGCTGTTTTTGGATGGGACACCCATCTCTTTATACCACTTTACATCCCGTTAGTTAGTAGCTACATGGCTTTTGTATTTCTGGATACTAAGCATAGTATAATCACTTGATGCCCTCTTGTGGAAAGGGGGGGGGGGGGGGGGGGGGGGTGGCGTATTATATACCCAAATTTTTTTTTTCC